AGAATGTGGTACTGTAATAGGGATTTCAACTTCTCGAACGGCAATTCAGCAGGAATATTCGGGAACGATAGATTCTTCACCAGGGAATACAGCTCTCGGCGGCCAACGTCAAAAATAGGACCGACTGATTTTGCATTCCTCCTTTCCGGATACTGCATCATAATTCGAAACGTTCTACCCACTGTTCGATTTCTGATGGGCCTCCGTGCAGGTTCAATGCTTCAATGACAGGAATCTCCATTGCGTGACGCCAAATTGTGTTAGTCGGAATAGTATTGAATTTAGAAATACGAGAATCCGTTCTGTACTGCTCAGAACTGAATTGGCTCCGACCCGAACTGCGGACACCAATGAAATACACGAGAAATTGATAGTAGCAAATGCTTATGTTTATTGATGGAATTTCCCTCGGTCACGGAGAAAATCACTCCTGAGCAATGTTGTGGACATTATCCCGTGCTACTATCCTAGCAAGTATGCTAACCCATAAACGCCAGACGTGCGTGATAATTTTTGCCGTATACGTCTACATTTTCTGGCTCCTCTACACTCCTGGCCTTAAGTACAACTAAGACAAGAAAACGATGTTTGACAATATTCATTTTCGTATTTAAAACATTGAAATATGAACTGCAAATTGTTACTTTCTGTATCCTTCTCTTATTCATCGGAGTCGTTGAACAAATCTATTCAGTATTCGCGTGCATCTCTACCTTTGAGAATCCGAATATTGGTGCCTATACATGGTATCCGAAATTCAAAGGGATTTCTTGTTCATCTGATTCATGTAGCATACAGATGACTTTTAAATATAATCAAATTCACATTTGACTCACAGATACTCGTTTTTAGTGGGGGGGATAATTGATTGTTTTTATTGATTTGAGATGACTATCGTTCCGACTCCACCTTCGCGCACAATCCTCAGTTCATCGATTCAACCATACACACGGAAGCACTAGATTCGAGTTTCACTCTTATTGGAGCTCATCAGTAGTGCATGTCCAAATTCCCGTCCGGGATTTGATCTCCGGACCCATCGTATGGAAGGTGTATGCGTTACCACTGTGCAACCCAGCTCATACCATGTCTGAACCAAATAGCCCATTCATGTTTGTTTAGGTGTCGTCTTCAGTTATAGTCAGTTCATTTTCTGCCCGACAGCAACGAGGGGAGACACAGATGACATGCTGTTAACTCCAATCGAAGCCTCCCACCAAATCAGGAATTTCATGCAGCTACAAACTGATTCGCCAACGAACCTACAAGGCTGGATTGATATTTTGCATTCGACTCACAGTTGCTTGTGAGTAGTGGTATGAGATAATTGGTTGAATCGATGAAGTGAGGATTGTGCGCGAGGGTGAAGTCAGCTCATATCAATAAAATAATCATCTTCATCTACTCACCAAGAAATCTTTGCTTTACAGTAAGTAGATTAGGACAGCAGTGTCCTTCCATGTATACCATTCCAGTTCAGTTGACGGAATGCGGAAGCTGTGAGCACTCTTCGAACCAAACCGCTAATGCATTCACTTATCGTTTCACCTTCAGAGGAGGACAAGTATGTCACCTTAAATCAGATAAGCATGTTTATTCGGTAAGCTGAAGCTCAGTGTTGCGCAGTTCCTCCTACAACATGTAGAACTGTGGTGATCCAGACTTCGGTGACCACAATTCATGCACGACTAGGTACAGTTTCATGTCATCCAATCACCGTTCAGGAAGCTCGGCCAATGGTACACGGGGCGAACATGATATCCGAGTTAGCACATATGATACGTCGGTGCAAACGGTTACGTGATTAGAGGATGCTCGCTCAACCAATCATATGGACTATTGCATTCTATAAAACATGATCTAATTCCATCAATAAACATAAGCATTTGCTACCATCAATTCCTCGTGTATTTCATCGGTGTCCGCAGTTCGGGTCGGAGCCAATTCAGTTCTGAGCAGTACAGAACGGATTCTCGTATTCCTAAATTCAATATTATTCCGACTACCACAAAAACTCATCTAACTTTTCCACTGACAAACGCATTTGAACTGGGCAAATTCTATTCTGTGACAGAGTATACACATCCGCACTCAATTGGTGAATGTATCCTTCTATTCTGCCCATCAAGTTATTTTGTTTTTTGATTTCGAAAACTGTAACCAATGTTAATTAAAAACGTAAATTAAAATCTCACCAAGCCCAGCAAGCAATTCAGTCTCCATCGTTATAAATTATGGTTTTCGGGAGACATCAACAGGGCTGCAATTGCACAATTAGTTAAGGTTGTGAAGAATCATTACTTTTTTGTGGCTTGCGAAAGGGAACCTCTAGTGGGTTTGACATTTTTGTCGACGCACAGGTCGATTATTTCCAGTCGCGACAATTTCACAGTCATGCCTTACCTGAACGCAGCTGTCCAACTACATGGACTGACCATGTCACTGAACGACGAACTGAATAAATGTTACACATAGTTTTCTTTTCTTACCCGGATTCTGCGTTGGTTTTCGGACCGCTACATGAAATTGGTTTCGTTTCCGAAGAGGATCAAGGTTACCTCCTAATAAGCGGGAATAGTGTGAATAATATGCATCAGTTACTCGTTACAAAGGCTGGTAATCTGAATCCCTTACAAAGGCTTCCGAGGTGGGCTCACATATGACAACTCCTTTGAATAAGTTGTGCGTTTTGAGGAGGGTGCACCATCTCGAAATCCGGTAAAATAACTGGTGCTCTGGCAAATACTCATTAACTGAGTTACTTACACTTTACGCTTATTGACGGTACTCATGGGCATCGTGAAGTCGGACGATGGTATATCCATCACCTCTTTTTACCGCATTGTTTGTTCGAAAGAGTTTGCATTTGCTGTTCGATCGTATAAGGAGCCTAGCATGAACTGGTGCTGATTTTGGCAATTCGACTCATGATTTTAACGGTTTCTGGCGCGTTATTGTAGAAAGGGACTCACGTTTTGGCCAGTGCACGTGGCTTTTGACAAAAAAAAAACATTTTTTGTGCACCGTGGTTACGGAGAACTCCTTCAATTCTACAATGGGAAACATCTGAAAGGTATTAGATGAGCGTCGGTCAATCACAATATCCAAGGACATTTATCACCACGTCTGCTCACTAAATCAAAATAATTAGTGCACTGATTGTTTACCGATGTGATGTCACCACCAGACGGGGCCTCTGGAATTAGGAACAGGACGATTGGCAAGACAGCTAGCGACACCATCCAGCTGTATTATTTCAACTTGAATTACGTTACCGAGCCAGCTTTCTCGAAGCATGATCACACCTAGTTGGGAATATTCCCGTACTTTGGTTAAGTTGGTGAGATCGGCAACATTGGCGGCAAGAGATCGGACGTTATAACTGAGAATGATGGGAAAACAAACGGTCGGCCTCGATACACTACAGTATTTGATCAAATAAGTCATTGCCGTAGTCGCGCAATAGTCCCCTTGGCAACCAAGGTAAAAGTTCATGCGATTGACGCAAAAAAGAACGCAAACACAATGATGGTTATGCAGGAATAACCCAACGATGGAAACCCAGATAGCGTGGCCGAAATTTGATTGCCCCGCCGACTGTGTTGAGTTCAAAATGATTGACGAAAAGTATGAAAAGGACGTACCCGATTTATTGCCTAGATCACTAAGCCTCTTTCTTTCTGTGATTTCTTTAATTTCGGGTAGGAATAATTGCTCAGTTTTCAAACTTATTGCGACACTATGCGGGGCGTTGATTATTTGTTTATTTTGAATTTTTGTCATACGAAGTTTGAAGGCCTTTACTGGTGTATGAATGCCCGTTGGAATTCGTTATAACGTGAAAAACAGAAAGAAAATAAATATTAAGCTCAAGTTGTTCCCACGATACAATCATCAATCTACTGACCTTGAATATTTTCCTCACGGTTGATATTCAATGAGCTGGAGGACGAAAGTTTAGAAATTTGTTCTATTATTCTTTAAAGTAGTACGTATTTAAAAATGGGATGCTATCTTTGGACCTGTGGAAGTGGTCTGGTTTATAATATCCCGTGATTCTCGACAAACCGGCAGATATAAGGAACAACAAAACGTTAGTTAAGGGAAACTATATTGATCCCTTAAAAGCACCGGAAGCTTACCGTGACTACGCTCAAGAATGTCTAAAAGCAAAAAGCTTAGCAAGCGATGGTGTAGCTCGGAACTCGAAAGGTGATAAAAGGAAGCGAAAATTTGCATCAGTAGTTCAACATGCATAAGTTTACCTTGGAGTAAATATAAAAAGCAACTTATCAATCTTGAAGCCTACCATATCGGAACTGGGCTTTGTATAGAAATTATTCGGTTCATAATCCCAAGGATGTCTCAGCGTCGGTGATGCAACCTTTTCTTCTGCTAAAGGATGTTTTACCCTGATTTGATCATCGACGGGTACATCGTCCGCTTTCTTTGCAATCCGAACCAACCCATCTGCTCGTAAAGCTGCCGCGGCACGCCGCTTGGCATCTACAGCTCTTTTACTAGCCTCGGCAGCTTCTAGTTCTAGTTGCGCACTTTCCAAATCCAATGTAACCTAATTAAATCGAATGTCAGCATTTTCACATGAAAATAAAGTAGCCGGAGGACTTAGCGGACGGGAGTGCAGAATGCTTACCACCTACGTCTTCTGACATCTTTTCATACTCCGTTGCTTGTGGTGACGCAAAGAATAAAGAGTCACAATTAGAAAGTTAGCAAACAGAACAAGAGAAGAGTCACAATGTTACAAAAGAACAAAGGTACAGTTTTAGTAGGTTCAACAACTAATAACATAATGCAAGCAGACATCCCAGTTTCTTATTCAAGGGGATGAATTTTTAGTATTGGGAATAGTACTCGAAATGGGGTTCCAGAATTCGCGCAATACCAATCCCCGATATAGAACAACTCCGAATCGAATAGCACACGAACTTTATTCGAACCGTATACTATGCATATTTAATGCATTTAAAGTGTACAAGGAATTTTGAGGTCAGTGTCACACATCACACTCGCCGCACCTTGAATTGACCACAGGATTTCTGTAATCCAATCTGGGCTTTGCACTCAGTCGTTCAGACCTTCGTAGGACTTGTTTCTTCACACTTAATTCGTCCGTAGTGGCTTGTTGTTCAACGTTCTGTTCACCAGTCGTATCAGCTTGCCCAGTATCCAAAGAAACATTATTAGACTCGAAATTTTCATCATGAATTGGAACTGACTGACTTGGATTGTCAAAGCGAATTTGGTCTACATGTCTTCTGTGTATAAACAAATCATCCTTGTCGAGTAGTTGGAGCATTCTTCGACCTAAAGACTTTAGGACAATTCCTGCTGAGGGTCTTAGGTCATTACCACGGAAAAATACAACTTCAGAAAAATTAATACACAATAAATTGGATCTCAGATTTCGACCTTTTGAGAGTTTAGCAGATGTCTCTTTAGTGGGTGAATGAACAGAATAACGATATCGTAAAAGAAACAAATCAACACCTTTTTCAAGTTCAGAAAATAGGGATGGATTCAAAGAAGTCATAGCACTTTTAAGTGTTCTAACAAAATGACCTGCTGGTTCATTAGAGCAAGGATATCTAGGAGCAGTAAACAAATGTTTGCAGTCAATGTTATGCAGCCATTCTGAAACACTTTTCGCGGAGAAGTGACTGCCATTATCAGTAACAAGTACAGTAAGAATACCTTCCCGACTGAAAACTTTACGCAAAGCATGAATAGTAAAACCTGATGAAGGTGATTTAGTGAAAAATACCTCTGGCCACTTGGAGAAGTAATCAATGGTAACAAGGGCATACGTTCCATTGAGAAATGAACCACAATAATCCGCATGAACACGTTGTCACGCCTCAGTTGAAACAGGCC